AAACCAAGAGCTGAATAAGTATTTTGTATGAAATGTGAGGATCATTGTTTGGGTATGTCTCTGCTTTTCTTATCACTTGCATGATTACAATCTGTTTATTCAAAAACTATCTTTCATGAGCTTGAAATATAATAAATGTACTTTACCAAATTATTCAAATTTGGTACAAAGCTTCTTAATAATATTGCTGGTAAATCATATAAATTGTTATTTGCTCTCGTTTGGATGTTTGACCCCTTTAAGTCTCATGTTTAATTTTGATCCCCAGTGCTGGAGGTGGGGCCTAGGGTATGGACCTTTCATATGTGGCTTGGTGCTATTCTCATAGTGATAAGTGACTCTATACTCTATTAGTTCCTGAGGGAGTTGGTTATTTATAAAAGAACCTGGCACATCCCTCCTTTCTCTCTTTTTCTCTTCTTGCTCTCCATGTTATCTCTGCATAGCTGGCTTGCCTTGACCTTCCACTATGAGTGGAAGCGGCCCTCACTAGAAGCATATGTTGGTATCATGCTTCTTGTATAGCCTGTAGAATTGTGAGACAGATAAACTTCTTCTCTTTATAGCCTCAGGTATTCCTTTATAGCTACACAAATTGACTGAGATAGAAAATTGGTACTGGGAGTGGGGTGCTGCTATAAAGATACTTGAAAAGGTAGAAGCAGATTTGAAACTGACTAATGGGCAGAGGTTGGAAGAGTTTAGATGGTTTAGAAAAAGAAGGATGATAAGGAAAATTTGGAATTTTTTAGAAATTAGTTAAGTTTCTGTGTCCAAAATACTGATAGAAATGTGGATGGTAAAGGCCATACTGACAAGGTCTCGGAAGGAAATGAGGAACTTATCAGAACCCAGAGCAAAGATCACCCTTGATAAACAATAGCAAAGCACTTGGTTGTATTGTGTCAATGCCCTAGGACTTTGTAGAAGGCCAAACTTAAGAGTGATGGCCTAGGGTATCTGGTGGGAAAAAAAAAAAATTCTAAGCAGCAGAGCATTCAAGAATTGGCTACTTTTGACAGCATACAATCAGATACAGGAGAAAAGAAATGACCTAAAAGTGAATTTTATAATTAAAAGGGAAGCAGAGCATACAAATTAGGAAAATTTTCAGTACGGCTACGTATTACAGAAGAAAAGAACATTTTCAGGTGAAGAATCCCAGGATGTCTCAGAGCAACCACTTGCTAAAGAAATTCATGTAACTAAAAGAGAGCCAAGTGCCAATTGTCAGAACAATGGGAAAAAGTCCCTTAACTCATTTCAGAAACTTTTGAGGCCACCCTCCCATCACAGGCCAAGAGGACTACAAGGACAGAATTGTTTCAGAGCACAGACCTAGAGCACCACTGCTGTGTGCTGCCTTAGGATGCTTCTCCCCTTATTCCAGCCATTTTGGGTTCAACTCTGGCTCAAATGACTCTAGGTACTGCTCTAGTCACAGCTCCATAGGGCACAGCAGTACTCATAAGCCTTGTCAGTGTCCATGTCCAAGTTTGCATGCACTCAGAATGCAAGGGTGGTGGAGGTTTGGTGGCTTTCACTTCAATTCCAAAGTTGCTCAGGCAGAAGCCTGCCTCAGGGGCAGAGCCTCCACAGAGAGGCTCTACTAAGGGTGGGGTTGAAATCCTTATGGAAAATCTCCACAAGGGTACTGCCTAATGAAGCTCTGGGAGCAGAGATGCCACCTTCCAGACCTCAGAATTATAGAGGCACTAGCAATGTGCAACTTCAGCCTGAAAAAGCTGCTGCCATTGAACTCCAACCCCTGAGAACAACCATGTGGACTGTGCCCAGCAAAGCCAAGGAGCCAGCACTGCCAAAGGTCTTAGGAGCTCACCCCTTGCTCCAGTGTGCTCAGAATGAGGCACGTGGAGTCAAAGGAGATTGGGAGATTTACATTTTAATGTCTGCCTTATTGGGTTTTGGAATTGTATGGGACCTGTTACCTCCTTCCTTTTGGGTCTATTTCTCCCTTTTGGAATGGGAATGTTTACCCAATACCTGCACAACCATCGTATCCTGGAAGTAAATAACTTGACTTTGATATTTCAAGCTCGTAGCTAGTAGGAACTTGCCTTAAGCCTCAGGTGAGACTGAATTTTAGACTTTTGGGCTGGTGCTGGAACAAGCTAAGACTTTGGGGAACTATTGGGAAGGGAAGATTGGATGCTTGATCCCTCCAAATCTTATGTTGAAATTTGATCCTCATTATTGGGAGTGAGGCTTAATGGGAGGTGTTTGGATCACAGGGTTAGATTCCTTGTGAGTGGCTTGATGCCATCCTCCTGGTAATGGGTGAAGCGAGTTCTCATTCATTATACTAGTTCCTAAGAAAGATGGTTGCTTAAAAAACAAAAAAGAGACACACACAGAGAAAAAGAGAGAGAGAGAGAGAACGAGAGAGAGAGAGAGAGAGAGAGCGCCAGGTACCTCTCTCTTTCCTCTCCTTCTGTCCTGGTCTGCCCCCCCCCCTTTCTTTTCTCTTGCTAAATTCTGCACAGTCAGCTCTCCTTCACCTTTCTGTTATTAATGGAAGCGGTCTGAAGCCCCCATCAGAAGCAGATGCTGGTGCCATACGTCTTGAATAGCCTGAAGAACTATGAACCAAATAAACTTCTTTTCTTTATAAATTACCCAGTCTTAGTTATTCCTTTATATCATAGCAACACAAATAGACTGAGATACTAGTTATCTGAAAATGTTGACAATTTTCAAATTAAAAATATTGTAAGGTAATCCCTTTGGGCCCCCTCCCACTCTGGGAGCTTCTCTGTCCTCTCAATAAATCCTGCTTCCTAAAAAAAAAAAAAAAGTGTTGTCGTGTTGTTTTTAAAAATGTAGGTAAAAAATTATATAAAAGATGTAAGTAACAACATCATTTCATAAGAGGGCTATGTGTAGTATCCTTATCCAACCAAGGTTAACAAAAACAACGAAGTCTAGTAAAACTATTTTGTAAGAGATTACAAAACATATCATTTTAAAGCAACATTACCTTTCATGAGAAATACTATGGATAGAAGTCTGGGCTTTGGAATCAGATAACCCTGAGCTTTAACTCTTGGTTCAACATCTTACAAGCTAAAGTTCCATAAACAAAATACTTAACCTCTCAATTAGTTTTCTTCTTTGTAAAAGAATGCTAATAATACTACTTTGCAATATTATTGAAGATTAATGGAATACTATAGACCAAGTGCCTCCCCTAGGGTAGGTGTTAAAGACAGGTTAGCTGTCATTAACAGTATCATATTTATATGAAAAGGAAGCATCATTTTCTTTCCGTTCTGTTGGAGTAGATTTATTTATTTTTTACAAAGCACCTTACTTGTATTGATTATTTGTAATCTTGGAAACATCATGAGCAAGAACGAGTTAAAGTAATTTTCCATTTAATTTTAAAAAATCAATACTGCCATGGGAATATTTAATTTCTTCCAAAGGGAACCTAAGACAATCAATAGCATTTCTTAAGAGGGATGCTGCATAAAGTTGAATTTGAGGCCAACCCTAATACAATGAGTCAGATAAAGGTAATGGGAGTCAGGTCAGAAAACCCTCCCATTTGCTTGGTGATGGTCCCAGAAATATCTAAGATTGGACTTCCAGCTCTACCCTTGAACTGTGACTTTGAGAAAGACTTGCACGAAGAAGGACGTGAATCCACAGGGGCATCCTTATCCCTTATGCCAAGTCTCGGTCATTTTATTTTCAACATAAGTACTAACACAGGGATAGTGACAATGGCAGAAACAAAACTTTTCTTGCAACTTTTAATTTAACTAACCTAATAATTATTGATCAATACCTGATTCATTAACTTTGTTCTTGGCTCTGTTTTAGACAATTAACCAATTAAGCAGATATGGACAGATAACAACAAAGTGAATAATGAATAAATTAGAGATGTACAAACAACAGAATGAATACTACTAGTAAATATTATGGGAGGACAGGGTAGCAGAGAGCCAGTGAATCATGAATAGCTCTATATGTGCAGTGAAAAGAAAAGTGAACCTGAGGCAAAAATGGAAATGTTCTCCTCCCAGCTATCTCTCTTATGATCCGTGTGACCAAAAGGAGGTCACTTACCTTCTCTGGACCTTATGACCTTTGAGTCTGCTCTACATTCTAAAATGGTGTAAAATGGTGAGATGTTCATGCCACATATTCTGTGATATTCACAGGTAGTCCTTCTTTCTGGTAACTGTATTTTAAGTCTTTTAATATTAACTCCTTTTTAATTCTTTTAATATCAATTCCTAATTCCAGATTCATATGTAGGTGGAGAAAGCTTCCCTCCTTCCCTGTTTCCTCAACAAGAGCCATAATAGTTTTACTTTTGGGTAAACCCTTGATTTTAAGGCTTTGATGACTGTTCAATTACAGATATCTCTGGGAATAAGTACATTTTAAAATAATTAGACATTTACTTTTCTGTACAATTGCGAAGGAGAAAAAGCAGCAAGTTCTGTCTTGCAGTCCCTCTGATGTTCTGTGCCAGACTACCAGCCGTCTGCCAATGCCTGTAACAGAATTTCTGATTTTTCAGCTGGGCAAATATCCACTCAGAACAAAGACTGCATTTCCCAGGCTCCCCTTCTATAGGTGTAGTCATGAAATTAAGTTCTAGGCACTGAAATACAAGAGCAGTGGTACATAAATGAATGAAGGAATGACTTCCTTTATCCTTTCTTCCTTCCTGCTAGCTGGAATGTGGATATAATACCTGGAGTTTCAGCAGCCATTTGGTGACCTTGGGAAGAAAGTTTAGATTGTGGCCTGGTTTCAAGTAAAGCTATAAAGTATTACTGATCTGACTTTAGTGAGACAGTCAGCTTTAGTCCACTTTTGTTTGCTTAAATAACACCTGACTAGGTTTTTTTTTTTCCCCTCCTTCTTCCACCCACTTGAATATTAACTAACATACTATGAACAGGACAGAACTAAGTTCTCCAAATTTTTCACAACTTTCACTTTTATTCCCTGTAGGTATATAGACTATTTACTAACAGACAAGGCCTACAGACTTTATTTCTTCTTGGATACACCCACAGTATGACCATGACGCCCAGTGGTCTTGGTGTGCTGGCTTGGAACACGAAGGCCCCAGAAGCGGCATAGCCCTCTATGGACCCGAATCGTCTTCAGTTGCTCCAGGGCTTCACGGAGCTTGTTGTCTAGAACATTGGCTGTCCTTTCTGTCTTTTACATCCTTCCTTCCGTTCAAGAACCAGTCTGGGATCTTATACTGGTGTGGATTCTGCATAATGGTGATCACACGTTTCACCTCATCCTCCGTGAGTTCTTCTGCCCTCTTGATGAGGTCAATGTCTGCGTTCCTCAACACCACATGAGCATATCTTTGACCCAAACCCTTAATGGCAGTGATGGCAAAGGCTATCCTCCACCCATTGATGTTGGTCTTGAGTACTCGTAAAATCTGTGGGAACTTCTCAGGGATCACTAGCAACACGGTGGTGGCACAGATGGCTGCATGTAGGCCTCCTGTGGAAGAGCAACCTTCACTTTTTAAATTACATTTTCATGGGTTCTTCCATAAGGAAAAGACATACTAAAAAAATCTGAGGATGTATATAATTTTAATAAAATGTTAAGAAGGTGTAAACTTAAGATCAGTACATTTGTAAGCTAAATATTTATGATAATTGAATAGTTCTATATCAGGATCTGAATTCTAAGAATTTTGGAAAGTTATAATAGGACAAAAATTTCAAAAAATTACTCTGAAGAAAGGCAGGCTGTAACTAGCTATACAAATATTATTACATGTCAAACAATTCTATACATTTAAATGTCAGTATTATTGTTGTTGGTATTTATAAAGAGATGCACTTTTAGATATTTCTTAATAAAAATTGTGGAAGTCTTATATCTAATAAGCTGCTACCATGACACAAATTAATATTGAATTTCCTTCTACCTTTAATTTTATTTATTAAAATGTTATTAGTTAAATAACATTTTCCAGTATCACAAAATTTTCAACTATGAGGTGAACATTCTTAAATATATTTCCTTCTTTCTTTTTACTTTTTTTTTTTGAGACAAGGTCTCACTATGCTGCCTGGGTTGGCCTCAAACTCCTGAGCTCAAAGTTTCTCCCATCCTAGATTCCCATGCAGCTGGGTCTACAGATGTACTCCACTGTGCGTGACTTAAATGTATTTTCTGAATAGTTATAGAAATTATTTACCTGGATGATATCACATTACATTTTTTTTTTTTTTTTTTGAGTTGGGGTCTCACTCTGTC